TTATTTTTTATCACAATATGAGGTTATTGGGTTGTTCTTGCGTTCTCGTAAATCACAGGGGTTCTCGTTTGAACCCTTCCCTATATATATATATATATATATATATATATAGGTAAGATCAAATGTTAACCAAAGTTTTTGTATAAACTTTGTTAACCGATCTTGACCATTCAATTTTTCAATAAACGGTTGTGATTAATCATGATAAAAACTTATTTTTTTAAATTTAAAATTACATAAAGATAAGTGAACAATGTTGAAAAGGGTATTTAGGTAAAAAAAAATTATGTAACTCCCATATCATTAATTAATTGGAAGTTACAAAATCAAAAATTCTATGATTTTTTTGTTAATATAAGAACCATATGAACACAACTATATATATATATATATATATATATATGAACTATTGTGTCAAATACGAAATTTTTTTTGACATATATATGAACTTGGATTGCATAGCATTTATGAACACAATATGAACATAATAAGAATAACTGCTATACGAAAAGAAATAAATAAAAAAACAGGTATGAACACGATATGAACAGCTTGTGAACAATAGTTCCTTCATTATAAACACATTCAGGAACGATACTTTGTCAATTGGAGTTTTATACATGCATTGCATCCACACCGTTTAAGGTTTACCCTTTGTTCATATATGTTTCTGATCTTATATGGTTGTTCACCCCTTGTTCATATCGTGTTCACCTCTTGTTCATATCGTATAAAATATATAAACACATAACCCCAACGCTATGAACACAAGGTGCAAACACTTACACAAATATAAAGATTTGGTATCAAGCTTAAAAAATAACATTTGTGTTCATATGATAGAAGTAACATGAACACAATGGTTCATGATTCATAAAAGTCGGTAATATGACAATATGAAAATGGGTCGTGCATGTACTTCCATTTGAACATGTGAATTAGGTACATATTTTAATAATTAAAGAAAAAAGCTATCAATACAAGATGAGTTATAAAAAACACAACACATCGTAATTAACATAATTTCGATTAAAACGAATCTAAAAAAAATAAAAATCTATTACCAAGACATTCGCTTTTGTTAATTTCTTCAATTCCCGACCTCGAACTCCGATATGATTGTCATCATAAACCATTTTAATCTTATAATTGTTGTCAATTTATTTTCCATTGCATTTATCCATATTAGCTTGATCGATACCGAAATTTTTTA